AGTCCTCCTCGTGGCGCCTCTTCCCCCTGCTTGTGTGAATTGCGGGTGCCATCTTGGATTCCCGGCATGACAGCTGGGAAGAGAATTGAGTGAGTTTCCCCGGCTGCTCCGGGGTTTTCCTCCTGCGGGGCATGACTCGTGAGGTGCGGGCACGCTTCAGGGATGTAGCTGAGGTGATTTCCCCCTCCAGGGCTGGTGTGTGCCGCTACGATGCTGGCGGATGGACGGAGCTCACTCTACAGCGCGTCCATCTCGTAGCGGCCGCGCATGCGCCCCCTAATAACTACTCTTTTATTATAGATCAAATAATAAATGAAAAAAACAAGCTAAAATAAGCCTTATTAATATTGGTTAAGAGCTTTAAGAAAACAAAGTATTTATTAATGAGATAAGAGTTCAACAAATTAGTGCAGCATTGAATATTATTATTATTATACAGTATTTATGGCACCAACAGTTTGCTCAGCGCTTTACAATATAAGGGAGATAGTACAATTACAATACATTTCAGTACAGAAGGAATAGGAGGGCCCGGCTCGTGGAGCTTACAATCTAAAGGAAGGGGAGGGGATACAGAAGGTGATGGCTGCGAGGGAAGATCTGGTGGAGGTGATTCCAGTACAGTTCTTAGGTGAGGTAGGGTAGGCTTCCCTGATGAAGTGAGTTTTCAAAGATCGCCTAAAGGCAGACAGGGTGGGGGCTGACAGGACATGCTGTGGTAGGGAGTTCCAGAGGATGGGAGAGGCTCTAGAGAAGTCCTGGAGGTGAGCGTGGGAGGAGGTGATGAGGGAGCTAGAGAGGAGGATATCATTGGAGGAGCGGAGTGGGGGATTTTGGGCGGTATCTGTGGATGGGGATAGCGATGTAGCTAGGGGCAGTGTTGTGCATGGCTTTGTAAGCTGAGGTTAGTATTTTGAATTATATACGTTGGGTTAGTGCAGTGTTTCTCAACTCCAGGTCCTCATGGACCCCCAACAGGTCATGTTTTCAGGATTTCCATTATTTTGCACAGGTGATTTGATCAGTTTCACTGCCTTAGTAATTACCACAGCTGTTTCATCTGAGGGAAATCCTGAAAACATGACCTGTTGGGGGTCCATGAGGACTGGAGTTGAGAAACACTGGGTTAGTGGAAGCCAATGAAGGGATTGGCAGAGAGGGGTGGAGGACACTGAATGGAGGCCAGTGAAGGGATTGGCAGAGAGGGGTGGAGGACACTGAATGGAGGCCAGTGAAGGGATTGGCAGAGAGGGGTGGAGGACACTGAATGGAGGCCAGTGAAGGGATTGGCAGAGAGGGGTGGAGGACACTGAGTGGAGGCCAGTGGAGGGAAGATTGGCAGAGAGGGGTGGAGGACACTGAGTGGAGGTCAGTGGAGGGATTGGCAGAGAGGGATGGAGGGACACTGAATGGAGGCCAGTGAAGGGATTGGCAGAGAGGGGTGGAGGACACTGAATGGAGGCCAGTGAAGGGCATTGGCAGAGAGGGGTGGAGGACACTGAGTGGAGGCCAGTGAAGGGATTGGCAGAGAGGGGTGGAGGACACTGTGTGGAGGCCAGTGAAGGGGATTGGCAGAGAGGGGCAGCAGTCGCCGATCAGTTGGTAAGGTGTATGAGTCTAGCAGCAGCATTCATAATAGCACTGAAGGGGAGATAGCCTGTGTAATGGTAGACCCAGAGAGAGGGAGTTGCAGTAATCGAGGCGGGGATATAACCAAGGCATGGATAAGTTGTTTTGTGGTGTCATTGGTCAGGAAAAGGGCGGATTTTGGAAATGTTCCGGAGGTTGCGGTGGAAGAATTTAGCCAGTGAGTGGATGTGGGGGCCCAAAGGAGAGGTCAGAGTCTAGGATTACACCTAGCACCCTGGCATGAGGGGAAGGACCAATGGTTGTGCTGTTGATCTTATTGGTAAAGTCACAGACTTTATGAATCCACCACTGATTATAAATGCTGTACCTGGCTGCACAACACCACCGCTAACATACCAAATTACTATAAAATAATTAACAAACAGGAAAAAAGTAGAGGAATTTCAAATTGAAGCTAAGAACATAACTGAGGATGGATTGAGTTTCTTTAGGGGTCTGGGAGATGGATCTTGGTTTGGGGACCTATTCAGCAGTTTTAGGAAGATGGTCACCCTTATGATTATGATTTTTTAATTGATTTTTTCTGGGGTATCTATTCATGTACTGGCTGATTATGTGTATGAGAACAAGAGCTAAGGAAAGGGAGTATGAAGAGATGTTATTGTTTCAACATTATAAAAAAATGCGTGGTGTTGAGGTATCTGGGGAGGAAAGCCAGTAAAGAGTGTTATCACGTTGTGATAAAAAATGGGACTGAAAAGGGTAACATGGTAATAATCAACTCCATTCTGTGATACAAGGCTTGTTTAAAAAATATATAACCTGTGTATACACTAAAGAAAAGTGTGTATGTATGCTTTATACGGAAATAACTGTTTGCAAGTTTTTTGAGGAAGTAACTTTCCTCACATGAATGTAACCACAGTCTGCGTGTTGGGCCAGATATATTGAGCAAATCTAACCACATACTTAGTTGTGAGACAGATTACTTGCAAAGAAGTTGGTGATAATTAACCACTTGCCCTCCAGAGGATTTACCCCCCAATTGATGACCAGGCTTCTTTTGCTACTCGGCGCTGCACTAATTCAACTGATAATTGTGCGGTCATGCAATGCTGCACCCAAACAAATTTACATCCTTTATTTCACACAAATAGAGCTTTGCCAAGACCGTGGCAGCTGGAGAAATGCGGAAATGGGGCAGACTGGTTGAACCCCCCCTGCAATCCACTCATTGTGTGAGGGGAATGTCAAGTGCAATGTTCCCCAGAAGAGAGTACCTGGAGCTGCCTCACCCCTCACTTGGGGTAAAGGAAGAGATGTCCTAAAAGTTTGGGAAAGTTTTCTCAGATAAGTTCAATTTCTATAGATCTCTCCACACGGGGAGAAGTATTCCTGTTTCGAGTGCGGGAAATGTTTTTCATGAAAGTCCTATTTTTATATATACCAGTGATAATACAAGAGGGAGCAGCCATACCATGTTCAGAGTGCGGGAAATGTTTTTCATAGAGGTTCATCCTGCATATATATCAGAGACCTCACATGAGGAAGATGCTATATCCCGTGTTCTAAGTGCGGGGAAATGTTTTTCTCAGATAAGTCTAGACTTTACATATATCAGAGATCTTACACAGGTGAAAAGTCAAATGTCTGTCCTGAGTGCAGGAAATACTTTTCAGTGAAACCCAGTCTTCACACACATCAGAGATCTTACACGGAGGGAGAAGTTGTATACCTGTTCGGTGTGCGGGAAATGTTTTTCAGAGAAGCCCTTTTCTTCATATATGACATATGAGATCTCATACGGGGGGGGAAAAGTCGTATTGGGGACAAGAGGGTGAGTGAGAGCAGCAAAAGTACTGAGATGAATATATTGCATGGGAACTGAACTGTATGTATTGAGCTATATGTTTAAACTGAGGAGGGGTTCACCCTGGGGTCTTAGAGGAAAATCAGAAGGAGGACAATGTAAAACAGATAAAGACCTAGAAGAAGAGGACCCGGGTAGATGAGTTCGGGAGCGGTGGAGAGAGAAAAAAGGAAGAAAAGAACTCAGAGGGGGGATACCCGTGGAAGACAACACATTTTAAACTCAAATCTAAAATAGACCCCCCAAAAAAAAAATCAGAAGGAAGGAGGGATTAAGGCTTCCCAAACAGGGCCAGTTAAAAAATAATATACCCTCACAGGAGAAACAGACTCCAGAGAGACAAACAGGGAATAAGTGTAAGAGGTGACAGGGAAGGACGGCGGGAAATGTTCCAGACTATCCCTGGGAATAGCTAACAGTAGTCAACATATGGAGAAGAAGATTGGGTATGGATAAAGTAGAAGAACAAGAGGAGAGCTCACAGATGCCTACTAACATAGAAATAGCAGAAATGTTTTAAGGACTTGAAAGATCCCTAAAAAAAGGAACTGGCGAAATTACATAAAGGTCCTGGGGCAAATTTTGTATTATTCAAGGGTGGAGGAGACGGGGGTCTGTAAGAAAAAACTAGATAAACATTGCCCAAATTATACAGAAATTAGAAAAAAAAACAGGCAATGGAAATGAGGGTAGGTGGTGGGGTATGGGTACGGGATAGGTAGTTTTAGGGACTCTGCGAAATAGTGGGGAGATGAAACATCAGACTGGAGAAATCCTAGTGATCAAAGGGGAAGACATAGAGGAAAGAGGAAGAGAGAAGAGATGGGGAAGATAGAGGTGTGGAGAGGAGAAGTATGGAAGAGGGTTAAATAGCTCGGGGAAGAGATTTGGGATTTTTAAAGAAACTCAACATAGATTTTTCTTCAGTGGTATTTTTACAGGAGACACATTTGGTGCAAGAATCAAATGTGAAATTAAATTCCAGATATTATCCAATGTGGTTTTATGCAGATTCCCCAATTAAACAGGGTCAAGGGGGTGGGCAAATAGGTTTGCGCGAAAAATATAAGGTTTAAGCTGGAAGACAGATTGATAAGATCCGGAAGGCGAGATTTCTGTTTCTGACGGGGAAAATTACAGGAAATAGACTGTACATTAGCAAATATTTATTGCCGAATAAGAAAACCGGAGGTATTCCTAAAAAAATTTCTGAGGAAGTTAATGGATTTCAAGGCAATTTAATTGTGGCAGGTGATTTCAATCTCTGCATGGATCCCCAGATGGATCAAGACATCCCACTGTGCAGAGAGATGGTAGTAGGTCTCTGAAATCCTTAAAAAAAATGATATACCAATGTCAAATAGTAGATATATGGAGAAATTAAGCACATGAAGGACAGAGACTATAGTTTTATTCTCATGCACATGAGATGTATTCAAGACTGGATTATATATTGCTGGTCCATTGACTTATATCGAGACTCTGGTCAGAGTGAACTGTGGAAGTGATGTCAATATCGGTCCATGCCCCTATCACAATGCAAATTATATGGTCGAATATGAGCACGATGGGGGGGTAAATTATGGGAGGTTCAATGAGGCATTCTCTCAAGTGGATTCAGAACGTGGGGATCGTAATCAAATTAAAAAAGAAAATAGATTTTTATTTTGTGAGGTAATACATGTATTCCTGAGGGGGAAATTGTTTCGCAGTTAGCAACAGTTTGTGCTTTGTGTGGTTTGGAGGCTATTAAGGTCCTCATTATATGAGGAATATCCTACTTGATAGCAATTGGAGCAAAAAAAGAAGAG